ACCCGCAGGCTCAGGCAATTCACTCACCTCAGCCTCCCAAAGCGCGGGATTACAGGCTGAGCCACCGAGCCCGGCTAGGCGATCTTTCTGCCTCAGCCTTCCAAGTAGTTGGAACTATAGGCACACGCCACCACACCCAACTAATTTTTTTGATTTATTGTAGAGATGAGGTTTTGCCAAGTTGCTCAGGCTGGTCTCGAACCCGTGGGCGCAGGCAGTTCTCTCACCTTGGCCTCCCAAAGAGCTGGGACTATAGGCATGAGCCACTGCACCTGGCCCCATGTTCCTTTATTATTGTCTACACAAGAGTCCTGGGCCCAGAGAAAAAGCCAAGCCATTCAGGAAGAAGTGAGCCTTTATCTCAATAGCCACCTGCACTGGGTGAGCTCTTATCTCCTCCACAGGGACTAACTGCCCTCCTTACTGCCTGCAACCCCTCCTCGCTCCCTGGGAGCATGCTGACATTTGACATGATGGGGGCGGGGCACCTTGGTATGGAAACTAGTCCTTTCTTTGCAAGGGGAAGTAGAGGTGACAGGGGGACTGCTGATTTAGAAGCAGAAATTGGCTGCCATGTGGACTCTGGTCATCCTTCCCCTCTCTGGTCTTGGCCTCCTCGTTCAGAACGGAGGTGTCGGGATTAGATCGCTCAGGGCCTTGAATATTAGAGCATCATGACTTTGACAGGGACTAGAGGGTCTGGGGGTGTTGGTAGGAGCCCCAGTTGAGTACAGGGACAGGAGGGGGCAGTTAGGCTGAGAGCAGATATGGGCGTTCCCAGCCCCTTGACCCAAGGGCAGTGCTCAAGGGCCAGGCGGGGCTGGGAGAAGGTCCTGGTGCTCAGACAATGACTGTGTCCATTTGTTCCTCCAATTAGCCAACATTGACTAAGAGTCTCCCAGCTCTGGGAGATTTTGGAAAAGGAGGTACACAGGGCCTGGCCCTGCTTGTCACACTGGGAGTGACCGGTAGGTGTAGGAAGTGGGCAAACTCATTGGTGACAGGGCAAGTCATGGGTCTGTCTCTGGCCTTTCCCACACGAGCTTCCCACCCGCTGTGTCCTGGGTCAACACCGCTGCTACCCCCTGTTGCTCTTTTTTTTGGATACTTGCTCTTGGAGCAGACGTCATAGAAGAAAGACCTAAATGCCTCCATAGTCCATAATAGGGGAGGATGATAAGAACGTGGTTGTAATATCCTAGAATGCCGGGTGGCTGCTTGTTCTGTTGAGGAACTGGCCACAGGAAGCCAGTCTGGTTAGAAAAGGAAAAGGCAGTTAAGGACTGGGCGAGGTGGCTCATGCCTGCAATCGCATCACTCTGGGAAGTTGAGGTGGGAGGATCACTTGAAGCCAGGAGTTCGAGACCAGGCTGGGTGACGTA